CCCGAGGGCAGATGATGACCCCAAACAAAGGAATGCTTCTATAAGGGAATTATACTGCAGGGTCACATGATCAGGGTCATGCTCCTCAGATATGTATAGGGGTACATGATGGGGATTGTATTCCTAGGCTTGTTCCTCAGATATGTATAGGGGTACATGATGGGGGTTGTATTCTTAGGCTTGTTCCTCAGATATGTATAGGGGTACATGATGGGGGTTGTATCCCTAGGCTTGTTCCTCAGATATGTATACAGGTACATGATGGAGGTTGTATTCCTAGGCTTGTTCCTCAGATATGTATAGGGGTACATGATGGGGGTTGTATTCCTAGGCTTGCTCCTCAGATATGTATAGGGTTACATGATGGGGGTTGTATTCCTAAGCTTGTTCCTCAGATATGTATAGGGGTACATGATGGTGGTTGTATTCCTAGGCTTGTTCCTCAGATATGTATAGGGGTACATGATGGGGGTCATGGCCCTCAAATCTCTATCCCCTCCCCAAAGATCCAAAGATGAATGGCGGGGGGCTGACACCTCCACATGCGTGTTGTCAGAAGAGGAGACCCAACACATTGTGTGATCGGCTCTTTGTTGGGGCCGGGTGCGTTCTGATCGGCCCTCAGCCATTGATTTATCCACCTGGATACCAAATCTGTTATATCGTAGTGCCGATGGCCGCAGTTCCGTATTTCCTGGCGGTTCGCGGCGTGCGGACTGTTCGCATCGTTAGCGGGAATGTCCATTGACAATAGTTGCTGCTCCCCCGACATTTGTCATCCATGAACGGGTTACTTCAAGAGCAGGCGACACCGTCACACACCTTCTGTTGCGTTTCCAGGTTTCCAAGTCCAACAGCAAAGTCTACAGTTTTGGGAAGAGAGATCAATCCATCAAGAGGAACCCGAACGTTCCGGTTCTGGTGAGAGGATGGCTCTACAAACAGGTGAGTCCCATCCGCTCCTCTCCCAAATCTTCCCCCAACATGGCGGATCCTCCTCCTCCCAAGTGTCGGACAATCATTGTGCCTCTCTATTATCTGTGACCTCCATTATAGGACAGCTCGGGGATGAAGCTCTGGAAGAGAAGATGGTTTCTGCTGTCCGACTATTGCCTGTTTTACTACAAAGGTGAGAGGTCAGGGGTCGCCCCCGATGGTTCTTCACATTAGGAGGGGGTGGTGGTCGCCCTCATTACATCCCCCGTAGGTTCTTCACATTAGGAGGGGGGGTAGGGGTCTCCCCCATTACATCCCCCTATAGTTCTTCACATTAGGAGGGGGGGGTAGGGGGTCGCCCTCATTACATCCCCCGAAGGTTCTTCACATTAGGAGGGGGGGTAGGGGGTCGCCCTCATTACATCCCCCTATGGTTCTTCACATTAGGAGGGGGGGTAGGGGTCGCCCTCATTACATCCCCCTATGGTTCTTCACATTAGGAGGGGGGGTAGGGGTCGCCCTCATTACATCCCCCTATGGTTCTTCACATTAGGAGGGGGGGTAGGGGTCGCCCCCATTACATCCCCCTGTGGTTCTTCACAGTGGGGCGTAGGGTTGCCCCCATTACATCCCCCTATGGTTCTTCACATTAGGAGGGGGTAGGGGTCGCCCGCATTACATCTCCCTATGGTTCTGCACATTAGGAGGGGGGTAGGGGTCGCCCACATTACATCCCCCGATGGTTCTTCACATTAGGAGTAGTAGGGGTCGCCCCCATTACATCCCCCGATGGTTCTTCACATTAGGAGGTGGGTGGTAGGGGTCGCCCTCATTACATCCCCCTATAGTTCTTCACATTAGGAGGGGGGGTAGGGGTCGCCCTCATTACATCCCCCGATGGTTCTTCACATTAGGAGGGAGTAGGGGTCGCCCCCATTACATCCCCCTATGGTTCTTCACATTAGGAGGGGGTAGGGGTCGCCCCCATTACATCCCCCTATAGTTCTTCACATTAGATGGGGGGGTAGGGGTCGCCCTCATTACATCCCCCGATGGTTCTTCACATTAGGAGGGAGTAGGGGTCGCCCCCATTACATCCCCCTATAGTTCTTCACATTAGATGGGGGGGTAGGGGTCGCCCTCATTACATCCCCCGATGGTTCTTCACATTAGGAGGGAGTAGGGGTCGCCCCCATTACATCCCCCTATGGTTCTTCACATTAGGAGGGGGTAGGGGTCGCCCCCATTACATCCCCCTATGGTTCTTCACATTCTGTGGGTGGGGGTTTTGCCATTTGCTGTCTGACTATTGTCAATATTACTACACAGATGAGAGTCTGGGGGCCACCTCCATGACACCCCATCTATGGCTCTATTTTGGGTATGGGCTTTCAAGGATCACCCCATTACATCTTCCTCTATGACTGCACATTCTGGGGTGGGGGAAGGAGGTAGGGGGTGGCCCAGTTACATCTACATTTATAACTCTGTACATTCTAGGATAGCGGGGGGTCAGCGATCGCCCCGTTACATCACCTCCAATGCCTCTGCACATTCGGGGGGGTTTCTGTGCATCACATTCCCTCTTTGTGAAATTCTCTGTCCTGGTGCCACATTCCGGCTCTCCTCCTCCCTCTGACCGCCGCTGTCCCTGTAGATGTTTTTCGGGTGACGCGCTGCAGGGTACGGCAGTGTGCGGCCCGCAGGGTGAGGTGATCAGATGGAGGGGGGACGTATCGGGGGAGGTGCGGCTGGGAAATGCGTTCTCCCGGTCTGTGGTGCAATCTGTGCGTCCTCCATGTGAATCCAGAGCGAGCGCTCATTCTGCTTTCTTATCACAGATAGCAAAGAGGAGTCCATACTGGGCAGCATTCCCCTCCCGGGGTACGTCATCTCCCCCCCGGGGCCCGAGGACCGGATCAACCGCAAGTACTCCTTCAAGGTAACCTGTCACTCTGTCAGCGCCTGCACTGGCTCCCCGCATCACTCTCCTCCTTCTAACATATGAAGTTTGTACTCTCTCTGCACCCGTCACCCTTCTCCTCCCCCGAGACACCTCAATGATTGCATGGCAAGTCAGTGATCGGGCCGTGTGATTGGCTGCTCAGGAGCTGGGCACTGCAGGGCCTGTCCCCCCCCCGCCAATATCCCTGGACATCTCCCCCTACTGGACAGACCCGGGAACTCAGCACAGGGATGGTGGGGGCCCCTCATAATGGGCACAGCGGGGGTACAGACCCGGGAACTCAGCACAGGGATGGTGGGAGCCCCTCATAATGGGCACAGCGGGTGTACAGATCTGTGTGTGTCTATCCCCCTCTGTATATTGCAGTGAATAGACAATAGCGGGGGTGGGGAGGGGGGTGGGGTGTGTGCGG